GCCAGAGCTTAGAACTGTATTTGTATTTGTTAGAGATGATGGATCACAGTGAGGTTATCTGAACTGAGCACGGCTTTGGACTATGCACAGTATCTCTCCTTTTCTGCTTGAAAATCCTAATTTCAGTCCTTAAGCCAGTCTTAGGCTGTCCTTATTGCATCTCTAAAAACAGCTGGATGCCAGATTCCTTTTAACATTTGTTGCTAAGTCTTGTTTGGTGAGAAGGGAGTTGGGAGGTGGGCAGCCTTGGCTGCGAGTGACATCTCCTAGTGTGCAGGGCTGCCGTTGACTTTGTGTGATTTCAGCTGGAGGAGCAGTTTCCTATTTGCCTTGAGGCTCTGGAAGGCACAAGGGATGGTTCTGCTTCCTTGCCTTCACGCAGAACTGCCAACCACGCTGGGCCACACTGGTCCTTCCTGGGTTATGCACCGAGAGCAACAGGATTTCTGCAGCAAAACTGCTGTTAGCTGGAGTGGCTGCCAACATCATTCTCGGTTGACAGCGAACTCTGATACAGAAAGGATACTAGATCTGTTTATGTTCTGGGACCTGCACCAATCACTGGATGGAGTCAGTGGTAACCTCTACAAAAAACCAAAGAGAGCAAAATTAGAAACAGACAGAGATGACTGAGTAGCTGGGCTGTGCTCCAACATCTGGAGAGTGCTTAATGCCTGCGCGGCTGGGCAAGGCTCCAGCGCCAGGCAGCTCTGAGCTTTGGGATAGGGAAGAAGAAAAGCAGTGTAATTTCTATGCCTACTTATGGCCTTATGTGATGTTTTTATCACCACTGCTAGTGAGTGCTACAGGAGAGAGAGCAGAGATCTGTCTCTATTTGGGTTGTGGCCGGTCAAAGAGACAGATCATGCCTGCTTATTCTTTAGCTGAGGAAAACTGCTAGTGGAAGAAAAGTCCTGGGGCCTGGGAATCAGAGGTGCTAGAGGGTCAAGTATTGCCCTGTTTCATGGACACTGAGGAGTATTTGCATGGCTACACTGAAGGGAAGGGATGTTATCCAGAGGGACCTTGACAGGCTTGAGAGGTGGGCCCTTGTGAACTTCAAGTTCAACAAGGACAAGGTCCTGCACATGGCTTGGGGCAATCTCAAACAAATACAGATTAGGCACAGAACAGAATGAAAGCAGCCCTGAGGAAGACTTGGGAGCATTGGTTGATGAGAAGCTCAACATGAGCCGGCAATGCGTGCTTGCAGCCCAGAAAGCCAACCATATCCTGGACTGCATCCGAAGAAGTGTGGCCAGCAGGTCCAGGGAGGTGATTCTGCCCCTCTAGTCTGCTCTCATCATACCCCACCTGGAGTACTATGTTCAGCTCTGGGGTGCCTAACATAAGAAGGACATGGACCTGTTGGAGAGAGTCCAGAGGAGGGCCATGACAATGATCCAAGGGCTAGAACACTCCTCCCTATAAAGATAGGCCAAGAGAGTTGGGATTACTCAGCCTGGAGAAGAAAAGGCTTCAGGGAGACTGTCTACCAGCATTCCAGTACCTAAAGGAGGCCTACAAGAAAGCCGGAGAGGGACTTTTTACAAGGGCCTGTAGTGACAGGACAAGGGGCAATGGCTTTCAACTGAAAGAAGGTAGATTTCGATTAGATCTAAGGGAGAAATTCTTCACTGTGTGAGGGTGGTGAGGCACTGGAACAGGTTGCCCAGAGAAGTTATGGATGCCCCATCCCTGGATGTGATTCCCCTGGAGGTGAATCCATTCAATGATTCTGTTAACATAGAGTGCAAAGGAGCTGGAGGAGTGTAGGTAACAAGACACAGATGAATGCTCTGGTATGGGATACAGCAGTGAAATCACATATTTACAACCCTCAGAGTCCTGAGAAGTGCTAATGATACTAAGCTAAAATTCAGCAGACAAAAAGTCATGTTTAGGTTAAGGCAATAATGTGCCTTGGAAAAAAATTACTAATCTCAGGTTGCAGGTGGGATGCAGGCAATTATCATTATGCTTCTACCTATGGACATGGGATTTCTACAGCTGTTTATTGGGATGGTCCATTACAGTGACAAAATTGTTCCTGCTTTGCTGCTAATGCTGTTACTTTTAGAGTGTGACTGCCGAAAAGCTACATCAGACAGACAATACCCATCACAACAGGAAGTCTGAAACTCTTAGAACTGATGCAAAGTCACCCATCCTTCGATCCTATGAAAGTACACACCCAATAAAGCCGTTAGTGGCTGCTTTTAGACAAGATGTCAGAGTAAGGGTGGCAATAATTATGTGGCTGTGCTGTGCAACCGTCAGCAGCAGTTTCAGTTTTCAAGCATGCTAGCTTCATATCTATACTGTGCAGCTAATTATACGTTATAGCATCTGGTTTTATTAATTTTTTTAGTGTTAAAATAATTTTTGTTCAACAGACATGCTCAGTGTGAATCATAACCTGAGCCATCTACTTTTTCCAATAAGAAGAAGAGTCTCCCAGCTGTTATGCTCTGCTGTTTCTAATCACGTCAAGCCAGGAGTTCTGGGGCCTTTTTGAATAAAGCTATATAAAATGCATTCTTACCTCCTGTTGTCTGGTATGTGCACTAGATTATTTTTTTAAGCTGCATTCTTGGAGATATTGGCAAGCATGCTATGCCTCTAACAGGCACTCATAAAATGTGAGCATAACAAGCTTCCAAATTTCATAGTTAGCTGCAGCAGATTTACACATGAGTGCAGTGATAGGAAGCCCATAGCTCCAGGTCGGCGTTAGGTTTCCAATGGGTCTGCCTATGGAGATATCTTCAGAACAAATTCTCTTGGCACTTTCAGGTTCCATTTTCTCTAGGTCAGTGGGAAGATATTATTTATCTACAGTTAAGAGATTTCCAGAGGTGCATTGCTTCTTTTCACTTGGGCTAACTTCTGAAAATAACTCTGAGATTTTGGGTCATTTATAAGGTTGGGCAACACTTTGTATAGTTCTGGCACCCGGGACTACCTTTCATGTGAAACCAGAGTGGTTAGAAGATGATCCTGTTCAGAACTTCCATGCTTTTCATATTTGCATACATGACGTGGAGTGCCAGGATAGATTTGCAGCATTGATCCAGTATCACCTGAGGGGCTGGTGAATGACCTTGGGAACTCCCCTTCTGGCATGCAGGTGCAGAGCAGGTTCAGTCACCTTACTTTCTTGGAGCATGAAGATAGTTGATGTGGTTGCCTGCACAGAGACATACTTCTAAACATCTCCTAGAGTATTTGTGTATAAGGAGAAGCGAAATTAGTACCCGTGTAAGCAGTCCAAAAATCAGTGTTTTTCAGTATAGAGCATCAGTGTGGGTAGAAATGGATTTCATGTTAGAGTGGGTGCAGGTATGTCCCCTAGAGTGCTGAAGCTATTTGTTAGTTGTAAAAGTTGCATTTACGGCTAGGTTATAAATCTGGAAAATATTTTTGCTGATAACTTTTTCTAGAGCTTTGTGTTGTAGATGGTATTTTTATTAAACAATTAACAAACTAGCTGAGCCTAAGTTGTGAAGTAAGATTTCCACCATGAAATATGTGAAGGAGAAACCAGAGCAGGAAAATGTAAAAGACAGCATTATGCTAGTCAATAACAAATGCAGGTATATGTATAATATTGGTTTAAAGATCAAACGCCATATTGGTTGTGAAGGATTTCCATCAGCCAAAAGTGACTTTTTTACAGAATTCTACTGCTAACCATATATTTTCAGCCACAAAATGTTAATTTGTTAGATAGATCATACCAAATGTATCAGTAACACTTAAAGGTGCAAACTGGTTGGTACACACTGGTACAAATTTTGCAAAGTGTGTGATTTTTAACCATGTTATGCCAATTCTGCAAATACAGACTGTTCATAATTTACTGGTCTTGTGAGAAGTGGCATCAAAAATCTCTGTAGATTTCTTAAATACCCTGTGGAGTTCAGATTATATTTTCTGTATAGCATTGCCATAGTGCAAGACAGCATTGCTTGAACTATGACTGCCACATACTGAAATGTTAATGTTAGCCTTCCTAAAGGCATTACCGGTGATGAGGATGTTCTGAATTGTAATAAACATCATAAAAACTTGATGCACAAAGTATACTAGGACAAAACCTTACAGGGGTTAAAGCTTTGGGTTCCTCAAGGTTGTGTTTTCTATATATTAGCAGTCTGTTCTTTCAGCTTCTCAGGGATTCTTAAGCCAAACGCAGAACTATAGAAGAAGTTGGTGTTTGCCTCATACAGATGCTTTTGCTATACAGTTGCTCAGTCACTTGCAGGTGTCTCAAGGACAGGCTAACCATAAGCTGTGTCTTGAAGTCCTCCTTCATGACCACTTGGCACAGGGCAACCCATGGAGAGGTGGGATGGCCCATGATTGCAGATCAGCAGGACACTAGGGCTGAGCTTTGCCTCTAAGAAATCCCACATGGGGGCATGGAACAGGAGTTAGGAGCAG